TGATCGGACCAATAACTATCATATGACATGTTATTTCTAAATGTTTTCTTACTTTATTGTTTAAAATATTATATTGCAGATTAATGTTTTTTTTTTAATAGAATAAGGGTGACAGGCAATCACACAGTTCGCATGATGGTAAGCAGATATTATGCCCTATATTCATCTACATTTATCTTCGATTAAGAATCAAAATGCACCCCTGAGGACTGATGACACTCACCATTAAGCATTAACATGGCAGCATTATTCTGCTATTTGACGTTGGTATTCTGTGAGAGCGTGGATCAAACTCGGACGAGCCAACCCGTTCATGCTGCATTGTAGCCTCTGGTGTGCTGTGCCACGTAAAATGTTTAATGTTTAAAAAAAATTCCGTATGGGTATTTATTTTTGCTGTTTTTTCTCAAGACGGTCAGGACAGGTGGCAAAAGCATAAAGTTGTAATTATTCTTGTAATATAATATATTGAATAAAAATTATTCTAATCTATTTTATTGTAAGTACAAGATAAAACATGCCAAACTTGTTACTAGTACTGGTAAGTGGTTAATAGTATGGCTTTCTATGACAGGCGCGATGACGGTGAAGTCTCACCAACCTGTTGTCATTTTGAGCTTTCAATTTCATCGCATTTTTTTTCATAATTATTGGTAATAATAGAGTATAAAAAACCGCGTTGTGGCAGTATAAGGATATCCACTAACCCATGTCATTCCATGGATGATGGGGAGCGAAACAAATCAAGAGATGGGCAGCAGCGTCTTTCTAATAACAACTAAAAAATATTTTGCAGTTGCTAACCCGCTAGAAAAGGTATGGTAAATATCCCCGAGGCCTATATTTGTGACTTTATTAGGCTATTACGGTAACGGTAACGGTAATAGAGTACACAGTCCATCTTATGGTAAGTTAATGCTGTGGTCTATAGATATGTATATAAATTCTCAATTAAGAAAGAAAATGGAATGGAAGCCTGGGAACTTTGTAAAGTTAATTTACAAGAAACAAATAACAGGGAAGGACGGATGCTGTATCCTGTTACGTTTACAATAATGACTAAAAGATGTTCATTAAGTTATCTAATGGAATACAATTTTGTTTCTCGGAAAGATTTTTTTTAACATTTTGGGTAACATTTGTTTTTCCTCAAGAGGGCACATATTTTTTTTTCAATTAATAAAAAATACAGAGAGGATTATTACCAAGTGCATTAGTAAGTGACATGATTTAATCTAACTAAAATGGTGTGTAGGATATCGTTACTACTTTTTAAGCTATACTGAAGGTTGATATTGACAAAAATTCAAATTCAGTCTTAAATACAAAAAAAACATGGATGTTTTTTTTTATAGGATAAGGGGGACAAATGAGCACACAGTCCACCTGATGGTAAGTGGTTGCTGCGGCCCATAGACATCTACATCTATCCTCTATTACAAATCAAAATGTAGATGCGTTGTCACCCGTGAGGACTAAGATGGAATGCCTCATTTCCAGTAAAAAAGGCCTCCGGCCACCTGCACTCACCAAGCAAAACGCAGAGATAAACCTCTACTTCACGCTGGTTTTCTGTGAGGTCGCGGTACCACCCCGGTTCGAGCCGGCCCATCCGTGCGACAGCAAAAGCTGCCGCGTAGCTCTACCACTATTAAAATGTGGATGTGAGTCAGTGTGCAAAAAAGATGAAAATATCGAATTATTTATAACTATCTAGATACATTTTGGAGACTCTTTTGTAGCGCAGTGGCTTAGTAATGAGTTGCAGCGCTGGGAGTCTGGCTGGCGGTTTCGAATCCCGCACGGAACAAGTATTTGCATGGACTATAAATAATTGTTCCATATCAGGATGTTTATCCTTGTGTAAAATTTATGTTTGTAAACTGCCTCCACAATACAGGAGCCGATCCTATTGTGGAGGTGACTTTTAAAAAGAAATAGAAAATAGAAATAATTTTAAATACTTCCCCAGTGTACTGAGGATATCAGTCTCCTCAGTACATAACTGGTCTTTAACTGGAGGCTAAGTTGTGTGGTTTGCATGGTTTCGGGACTCCTACTACGTCTGCCTTTTTCCTTTCCGGGAAGGAGCAGCTGGAAAGAAGAGCGTTGAGCATTAATAATGCATAATAGGAGACATACGAGCAGCGTGGAGAGCAATTTCAGCACTCTGTTGCTGATGCCATCGGGGCCGTGTGCTGATTTCTTTTTGAGACGTTTGATGACTTCTGTGACTTCGTCAACAGTCACAGGATCTAAGGCCTCACTTGTAGGTAGTATTGCAGACTTAAGCTCAACTTCCGCTTCTACCTCTAGGAGGTGAGCGGGATCTATGTGTTCCTTAGAGGGAGTGCATTGGCTCTCTAAACTGACCGCGAAGCATTCAGCCTTTTCAGAGTCGTCAAAGGCGTCCCAGGTACCACAGTCTAACACCAAACCCGCCCCTGTGACCTGGACGGGCTTGGTGTTAGACTGGGGTGCAAATGTGGGCGCTGAGAGTGGTGCGGGTTTGGGGGCATGCTGCCGAGAGCGAGACACACTGGCTTGGCCCGCGCGTCCGGGTCGGTTTCTAGCTCCGCACTGTTTCCCTTACCCGCACCCGCGATAGTTCGCCGGGTGTCCTTCTTTGCAGCAATTGACGCAGCTCGGAGGTTCAACCAGGGTTCAAAAGTGTTTACCTAGGCACTTGACGCACCTAGGTCTGGCATAACATTTCCTAGCAGAAGGGTTGTAAAGTTGGCATCGGTGGCCAACGGTGCCCCTTTTTTGTGAGACTTTCACGGCAATCCCCGTGACCGTTCACTCTGAAAGTCCTTTACACAGTCAATCAGAACAAGGAATAAGCCATACGCTGGAATCTTACCCAAAAGGTTAGCGTGTCAAACTCTGTCAAAGGTCTTCGAGACATTAAGGGATACTGCAAGTGCTTCCCCACTGTTCTCGAGTGCCGCGTGCCATTATTACGTTGCATACGCGAAAAGGTCCCCAGATGAACAATTTTGGCGAAACCCTTACTGGTGGTTACTGAGGAGGTCATTTTGTTCTAGGTATAGCATTAATCGGGCGCTGGATATACGCTTCATGATCTTGCAGAGTATGGAAGTAATTGAAGTTGGCCGATAATTGTCAGGTTCGGCACGGCTACCTTTTTTGGAACAGGCTGCACGATAGCCGGCTTCCAGAATTTTGGCACTGTTCTAGTCCTAAATGAGAGGCGAAACAAGCGCATGAAGTCAACTTGGGTGTGCAAGCCTTAAGCACTATAGATGGTATATCATTTGGTCTACTAGCCTTATTCACGTCTTAACACTGCATGGTTTTAAGAACCTCCTTATTTGTCATAAGAACCTCCGCCATAGAGGTCCCACAGTGAGTTAATTCAGGTGGAACGTTTTTGCCACTGTTCAGATGCGAATTGCAGGCAAAGTGAGATGCGATTTGTAGGCAAAGACAGACGTGAACAAGTCCGTTTTCTCTGTAGCCGTATATGCTAGTGTGCCGTCCGGTTTTACCAGCGGAGAGAGTGTAGGCCGATAGAGATATGTCTCGACCGCTTCGGCAAGATACCAAAAAGCTCTAGTGCCGAATGGTGTGGCAGAGAGAATATGTTTTGTTGGAGTGATGGAGGTCAATAAATGAGTCATATAACATACTAACAAAATAATTGAGTAAAAGTAAGCACATTGAAATTTAGGACGGACTACAACATGTTTAATGCGATCGGTGACTAGCTTTCCGTAACATTTTTTTGTTGTTGAGGACTTGGTGGTCTGGTTGAAACCTTCAAGAAAAGGGCCTACTCCTTTTAAAAAGGCCGGCAACGCTTCTGCAATTCCCCTGATGTTGCGGTTGTTCGTGGGAGGCAGTAGTCACTTACCATCAGGTGAGCCGCATGCTCGTTTGCCCCCTCTCCTATAAAAAAAAAAACTTTCTTCTTGGATCTGATATCGGAAGCTTTGCGATAAATTATAGGCAAGCTTTGCTACCGGTAAGAGCGTCAGAAAAGGGGATAAAATACTCTATATCTTGACGTCACACATCAGTTATCGCATCCGCGCACCTTGACGGAGTCGCAGAAGAGAAACAGACCTCTAGCTAAGGACAGGATGCAAAAAAGTGTCAGGTACCTTATACCGCCATATTCATCGAACACCTTGGGACTTGTAATGAGTTGGAGAATATAACGATACAGATTTGACCAGAAAGTGGTTCATGTACCTAAAGGGAAGTTAACCTGTACCTGCCTGGTAGGGTAGTCAGCAGAATATCCAAGCAATTGGTTGTGTGACCGTCTACATCGGGTATTCTAGTTACTTCCTTTACCAAATGGAAAAGACTTGGAGTTAAGGATAAGTTCCACGATTCTCTTCCAGTATGATCGGTTTTCTCGTATGAAAACAGGCAGTTTTGGTTACAGGCGTTAAAGTCTTCCAGAAAGACCACCGGTTTACGGCCACATTAGCAGCCTCACTAAGGTGATCAAATAATTGAGTTATCTCCTGGTCACCGCTATGCAAGCGATAGAGGCAGGCATAAAGGATTTTATCAATACCTGTATCTACTATCACAAAGATTATCGAAAATTGGCGTCTTAAAGATGATGGAGACGCTAGAAGCAGATGTAATTGCAGATGTACACACAGATTTCGGCACTTCGATGGAATTTGTGCTCCAGTGAGAATCCAGGATAGTCAAAGTAGACCTCCGTCAAGAAAAGTTTCATATTCTATTCTTCCATTCTTCACATGGCTTCAACAAGCATTATGCTAGAATACGACAACATCATTTGGCTACAAGACTTTGCATTGTGGGTGGTAACCGTAAAGTCAGCGGCTAATGTAGTGTAGTCTATGGCCATCGACTGTACGTGTCAATGGTAGTTTTTATCTTTGGCTCTCTCTCGACTGACACCGACCAACATGTCGGATTCTGTATCAACACGTTACTAAAATATAATCCATTAGAATCAATCAAGTCTATGGTTTTATTGACAACATTACATGGTGCAGCCGAGAAAGAACTACAAAGAAGAGAATAACATTATTATTTCGTGGACTAACATTGTGATGAGCGAAGAAATGGCAAGTTATGAGTTCAAGATGCCCACATCAATTTTGCTGGATAAAACAGACGAAGACCTTGTGATAAAATGGACAAAGTGTAAGCAACAATTTAAAACTTTCTTACTGGCAGCGGGCTTGGAACAAAAGTCTGAAAATAGGAAGGCGGCAATATTGTTAAATTGTCTGGGAGAACAAGTGAAAGATCTCTATTACAACGTGCTGAATGGGTCGGAGGAAAACCAAAAATACATAGATGTAATCCGTTTACAAGATGACTATTTCCTCAATAAAGCAAATGAGATCATTCAAACATTTAAATTCAATAAAAGGAACCAATTTCATGGAGAATCGTTTGATGCATACTTAAGCGACTTGAAAAAGATGATAAAACAATGTAATTTTGGAGCTGTGGAAGAAAGACTGTTAAGAGAAAATTTGGTGATGGAAGTATCAGAGGCACAGATTAAAATATTCTTAGGCATGGTAAATTATCTAAGAAAATTTATTAATAATTTAGCGGATTTAGTACCACCATTGCAGTTATTATTAAAACAAAACACAACATGGTTATGGACTGATTTACATGAAAACACTTTTAATAATATAAAAACCCACTTATCTAAAGCTCCAGTGTTGCAAAATTTTGATAGTTCTTTGCCTATTACTATTCAATGTGACGCAAGTAAAGATGGTCTTGGATGTTGTTTAATGCAGAATAATAAGCCAGTATCATACTCTTCCAGAAGTCTCACTAATGCAGAAAAGATCTTTTCACAAATAGAAAAAGAGCTCCTAAGTGTGGTTTGGGCAAACAAAAAGTTTCACTACTATGTTTATGGAAGACCTTGTACTATACTAAATAATCATAAGCCACTAGAAACCATATTAAAAAAGAGCATCCATGAAATACCATCTATTCGTTTACAAAGACTTAAATTAAAATTGTTGAAATATGATATCACTTTTCAGTATCTAAAAGGTAAACTTATGTATATCGCTGACTTGTTATCTAGGTCTTATTTGGATGAAATTGATGAGGATTAGTCATACTTAAATGAAATAATTCATTGTATAGGGATAGCATCTTCTTTACAGTGTTCTAGTAAACAAAAACAACAGTTACAGGAAGAAACATTAAAAGATACAGAGTGTGTCAAATTATTAGATTATATAAAAAATGGTTGGCCAAATAATATTAAAAACAATCATAAATAATTGTAAACCTGATTTAATGTGAACCACCTGTTCTGGTTTTTTATTTTTTAGTCTGTGCGTATACAGTATATATTAACATCATTACAAATAACTGAAGCATTTCATCAAATAAGCTATCTTACCAAAAGCTTCCACTTTTTTCTTTGAATGATCCCTATTGAAATTCCTTAATAAAATATATATTTTTACGAGATATTAACAAATATCAGTAAACCTTTTGAGAATAATTTTCTGTAAATCTATAATTTACGTCTTAAATGTTGTAAAATTGAATAAGAAATAGCATTCATTTTTGGTTACGTAAGGGATAGTTGTGCACTTTGAACTTTCAATATATTTATATATTTTATTTTTATTTTTATTTATTTTTTTATTTTATTTATTAAGATATACAAACAAATGTACAAAGGTATTTATAAAAGTATTATCAAAAAAGAGTATAATATATGTACATTCAACACCGTATACCACATATTAGTATAAACAATAAGTAATAAGTAACGAGTTGAAGAGAAAAAAATACTATCACAAAAAATATATAAGTATTAAACAGTATAAGAGACGTTTGCACAAATAAAATTTTAAATTTGTAATACCTGTAATTTATTCTTAATATATTTTTTAAAGCACATATTTGAGGCAGTAAAAATATCAATATCGCTAAAGTAATCATTATATGATTGCACTATGCGTCTTAATGGGGAACGAAGACCAGCGTTAGTACGACAGATTTTTGTCATAAATAGTTTATGTGAGTATTTCTCACGAAATACGTTGTGAACCACTTGGAACGCGATAGAATATTTGATTAGTGAGTTGAATACAATCGATATCATTATGACATAGTTTATACAAATATAAATTATTTATAAGTATCCTTCTTTTGTAAAGAGGTAGGAGCGAAAATTTGTCTAATAAATTAATATAACTTGAATACGATCTGTGATAGCATCTATAGTTAACGGTTTTTAAGAATTTACGTTGGATACGCTCTAACTGAAGATTGTATTTCTCATAGAATGGGTTCCAAATGATAGAGGCGTACTCCAATATCGGTCTGATCAGAGAATTAAACAAGTAGATATATGAATTGGGTCGAACGAATTCACTACAAGAGCGAATAATAAAACCAAATATACAAAATGCTTTGTTGGTAATATAGTTAATGTGATCGTTAAAATCAAGTTTTGCGTCTAGTATAACTCCTAGATCTTTAATTAGATCCACCTTACATAACTCTGTATTATTAATAGTATATGTATTATTTATAAGATTACGCTTCTTTGTAAATGTTATTGATTTACATTTATCAACATTAAGCTGTAGTTTATTTTTAGTACAGTACAAAGATAAGCGATAAAGATCACTTTGTAACTTAAAGTTGTCATCAGCGCTTAAGATTGGCAGGTATACCTTTAGGTCGTCAGCGTAAAGTAGGAAATGGCTGTGATGAAAGCAATTGTTGATGTCATTGATAAATAAGATAAACAGCAAGGGACCGAGAATAGAGCCTTGTGGTACATCTGATGTGACAGTAACTAAGTTAGATGAATGGCCGTTGACGACAACTCTCTGAGTTCTTTTTATAATGTAAGAATAAAACCATCTGAGCAAATCACCACGAATCCCATTAAAAGCAATTTTCTTGAGTAATATATAGTGATCTACTTTATCGAAGGCCTAACGGAAGTCAGTATACACAGAATCGACCTGTATTCCCTTATCCATATGTTCAAATAAGTATGTAGTATAAACGAGGAGATTACTTACTGTGGATCGTTTTTTAACAAATCCGTGTTGTTCGGGTATGATTATATTGTGAAGGACAGGATAAATAACATTATGTACTAATCTTTCAAACACCTTTGACAATACGGATAGTAATAAGATTGGCCGATAATTCTCTACGTCGTTCTTGGATCCCTCTTTATGAATAGGAGTGATATTCGCTGTTTTCCAAATAGCAGGAAAGACACCATCTTGAATGCACTTATTGTAAAGAATCGTCAGAGGAACACAGATTGTGTCCGCTGTATATTTAAGGAAGAAAGGAGGAATACCATCCGTTCCAGATCCCTTGCAAACATCTAAATTTTCAAGTTCTTTTTTTACCATATCAACAGTGAAATTTATAGTAGAAATAAAGCCATTTAGACTAGAATTGTTTGGTTCTGTTAAAAAATTACTATCAGATGTAAACTTCTCTGAATCTAAGTTAGATGGTTCAAATACGGATTTAAAGAAGCTTGAAAACAGATTACATGCTTCGTCTGGTAAGTTAGTTGCTTCCTGTTTGTATTTGATATTATCTGGAATACTATTGCTATCTCTACGATTATGAATGTATTGCCAAAATTTCTTAACATCTTTTCGTAGGCCATCTTCTATGGTATTCATGTACTTGCGAAAACAAAGGACACATTCAGCTTTGAATCTGGAACGATAAATGGAAAAAGATTCGTAGTCGGAATACGACTTATACTTTTTCCATTTTATCCAAGCTCTATTTTTGTTTTTGTATATATGTATTAGTGGTCTTGAAAACCAGATGGGAAAGCCTGAGGGTTTAAATGGTCGAAGTGGAACATGGTTTTTAATAACTAAATAAATCTGTTCATAAAATATGTTTACGGACGATTCAGATTGTTTATTAGAAAATAAGGAAACCCAGTCAATTTTCTTAATACTATTATTAATTTCATCATATTTGGCTTCAAAAAAAGCGTATTTCAAAACAGGTCCGCGCGGCATAGCCCGAGACAAGGAAGATAGATAAATACTAGTGTAAAAAGGCGGATGAAAAGGATCTAAGGGGACTAATTCCAATGAGGGTACTAAACAAAAATTATTATTATTATTGTTACTAATAAATAAATCAAGTAAGTTTCCTTGGTGATTTCTTAAATAATTATTTTGGAAGCCGCCAATTATATTAATAAAATTAAGCATGTATTTTCCAATTAAAGTTAATTCGCATTCATTAGGCAATGCCCAATTAATAGAAGAAATATTAAAGTCGCCTAATATATAGAATTTGTCAATATTTCCCGATAACAGGATGTTTTGCAATGCATCCAAGTTTGACTTATAAACTTCAAACGGCCGTTGCGGAGGAATATAAAAGGCGGCAACAATATGTCTCATGTTATTTTTGGCTGGAATCTCCAGCAAAATGTAATCAACGCAAGTTGAATTAGTTAAGTTCCGTGAGTATGCTGTATTTAAAAGAAGACGATTTGCACACAAATCTTTTCTTACGGCTATTAGTACCCCGCCACCGTCACGTTTCCCACAGGCAATTCGATCTCGATCACAACGAAACACACTGTATCGGGAATCTATAAATTCATTATTAGCAATTGAAGGAGTTAACCAAGTTTCTGTTAAGACTATCAAATCGTAAGACTCCGATAATATATTCATATAAATAGTGTTCAACTTAGTCCGGAGTCCCCTACAGTTCTGATAATATAATAAGAGTTTATCAGTATTATGTGAAGTCATTGTATATTATTAAATTCTAAAAAAAATATTTATAAGATTTATTATTAGTTATAACGTAATATTATCATATCGTTAATAGTCAAAATAATGGCAAAACCTGGCCCCTCCTTTTGGCTTTATTAAGGTGTGTCTAAGCATAGAGCAGCAAGTAAGCGGCAGCAACACGCATCGTTTTCAGGGTAAATTGTTGTCGCGCTCTAGTTAGGACTATACCTGCGTATACGCGGCAGTACTGGGCACAGATAAAAAATTATCTTATGTTTATTTATAAAGGATCGCACGTTTTGAAAAAAAAGCATGTATAACATTATAATATTCAGATGTATAAGTAAGTAGATAGCTTATTACAGTTACGCCGTTTTTAACCGCCGACGGAAAATGGGGGTGTTATATGTTTAACATGTTTATCTCTGTGTCAGTTTTTGCCACAGTAGCTCCAAAGCAGATGAACCTATTTAGATTTGATTTTTTATTTGTATGAAAGATAACTATTTAAATTATTAAATTAAAATATTATAATTATAATATAAACAAAAATTATATGCCCAAGAATAAAACCTTCAACGTTGGCGGCCAAATGTTTATTCACTGTGCTACCGAGCCGTCAATATTTTTAAAAAGTTTGAAAATATATTGTTTAGAATAAAAATGATAAAGTGCTGTAAACTAAATGTGAACAAAATATGAACGTAAAGCTGTGAACATATATCAGTAATGAAATACTTGCAGTGTCGATTCCAGCTCACATAGGAAATTGCCTTGTTCTGAACTCAGGCTATATCCGTTGGCTGCCGTTATATGTTTTCAAAAGAACATGTTAAAAATTTCGTTGCCGGACTTGAAACTAAAAAATTGCGGAAAATATACGTGCATAATTTTGTTTTCATTGGTATTATTTGAACAACATACTTAAATTTAATAAAGTATAATGATGTTAAAAGAAGAAAAATTGTTTGAACTTTGTACTAAAAGAGGAGCGTAATGTATGGTAGTGAAATGTTGGTGTGGCATAATAAGCTTGAGATTTAAATATATGCTGTAGGTCCTTAATAATTGTGCTTGAGGTCACTCCCTGCTTCTGAGTTCTGGATAAATAGACAGAATGAATGAGGAAAGAAGAATGTGAAGCAGGAGAGAGAGTTGTGTCAGGATCACGTCAAGTGGAAGCCCGTAATCTCTATCTATCCTTCTAGGTTACAGGGGTGAGATCTTATGGTTATTATTACGATTTTTAAAGCGGAGTGAGAAAACAAACCTGCTGGTTATCTGACGGTAAGAAAAAAAAACAAAAGAATAATATCGTGACTACCACCTATGAATAACTG